CATGCAGATGCAAGTAGATAAATATGTATCACTGCTGTCAGAAGGTAACAGTGTTCGGTGACATCATGCTGGTCACATGACTGCAAAAATATCTCTGGTTCAATGGTCTTGAAACAGAGATGATCAAGATAATCACCGCCTCCTAGCATCAGCAATGACTAACGGAGTAAAATCTGCAGGGACTCATACATATGTACAGTTATAGTAAATAATGGAGAAATATATATAAGTTAAAGACAGAACCATTTCATGTTAGAAAGGAAGTGTAAATTAGCTAAGGTATTAAACCTTAATGGAATTGCAAAGCACCTGCTGATTGCCTTCATTCCAGCTCTACTTATCCAGTTTCATATATAAAATAAATATTAGAAAGCAAGCTTAAGCCTGTTATCTTGATGGACTTTTTAAGAAATAAACTGCACTTGAAAAGTTTTGTTGATCAGATCTTTAGGATTGTGGGCTATAACTTCAATGTCTTGCCATGAACAGCATTAAGTTAAGCAGTACTTCCCCAGAATTTTCTATCATTTGGGACCATGCAAAAGTTGCATTTTCCTCCATTCTTCCTCAATAATTTGATTGCTGGTATTTTAATCTAATCTCTATCCCACAGAATTCAATTGCCATGACTCATATTCTTGATCTAAAGTTTTAAACTTCAGCTTCAAATTTTGCAATGAGCTGCTCCAGTATGATTATGTTGTCACAAAGACAGTAATAGAGTTCCATGAATGACATATTATCAAGGAGAGATTACCTCTGTATATGTTAAGATAGGAATTCCATCAAAATGAAAGCAGATTCTAAAATGAGGGAGGGAGTTGGGAAAGAGAGGCTGTTTCTTATGAACAGAGCAAGTTGTCTTCAACATATTAGCTTTCAGAAATCAGCAGCAGAGTGAAATGTGTGCTTTTCCACAATTGGTCTCTTGAAATGCAGATCTCCAGTCCAAAACAAATTAATGCTCAGTAAACCTAATCAAGCCACCCAAATGCAAGTCTCATCCATTTTACTAAGATCTGTGCCAAATCAACAGCAGGAGGATCTGGTTATAAGCAGCTTCTATCTGAAAAATAAGATTATGTTCAAAGAGATTGCTAGACTTTAAATGAAAATATGTTAGAGTAAACTTGTAATACTTTAACGTTTGAATTCAAATTAAGACATAATTTGTTATGAGCGCATAAGCTTTTGAGTTTCAAGAACTTTTCATCAGAAAAGGAGAGTAAAAATCTAAGAAAAGGAGGCCTATTAGACATATTAAACATAGCCAAATTATCAATTGTAAACTGGATCATCCGTTAAACAAACATTAATTACAATCAAAGATCATATTGCTTACTTTTTAATTATTTAATCCATATCCTATCTTTCCACAAGAACTAACAAATCCAACCCCTTCTCAGACAATACATGACAAGTATATTAATTAAAACACAATTAAAACCATAATTACATAACATTTCATCAATATATAAATTTTAAAATCAATTCAGGCAAGAGCCTGAAGGAAGATGGTAAACTATTGACAGAAAAACCTTTCCATTTAGACTTACAATAAACTTTAAAATAAATAAATAAATAAATAAAATAATTATAAAGTAGAAAAGAACCTTGCAACTTTCAAAGAATAAATTGAAATATGCATTTTGGTGTCCTTCCCAAAGCAGATGCAGTAAGAAGAACTTACAACTCCAAATGGCTTAAAAGGGAACAAAACGTTTCTCACAATAAGCAAAATAGCTGAGGAAATGGCTTCTCTTGAAGATCTTGACAGCCTGGCAGTTTGTTTGTTTTTTTAATAAGAATGACCACACTCAAGGAAGGAGGTCTTGGCCTGGACAAAATTGGTAGTCACATTCAGGTTCATAAAAGACATGGAGATCTTCAAAAGTATACTCCAATGAAGGTTGGAGCCAAGCAAACACATCCACTGGCATCCACACCAAGCTGCAATGACACTAAAACAATGCCACACCTGGATTGACTTTATCATGCAAATTGCTATAATACTCTCGTCTGTTCCTGGGACATCCTGGTAATTAAACTGGTAGGAACAGCCTGCTCAAATCCTGCCTCATTTCAATTCTGAAATCAGAAACTTCATCTGAAAGTGCCTATATCTCACATTTTAAATGGTACTTCAATCAACAATCTGGTTACACTCTTAATTACTCAGAAACATTTTCATTCTGTATTAATAAATTCTTGGTTTTGTATATGTCTTAGCATGATTGTCTACACAGTCAACTTTTTAAAATAAAATATTATCAAAATATAGTTGTTTTTATCTTTTTAAAGATATTGGCCATATATAATAAGACTGATGGAACTTCATTCCCCATCTAATAGAAAAATCTCTCTAGTACACATTTCTACATAACAGTTTTCAAACAATACTCATTTCAAACTCTATTTTTAAAAATGTTCATATTTGCTCACATTTAAAGAAAACTAGAACACTGGCAGATATTCACAATAGATGGTGAATGCTTCTCTGAAAGTTCAGCCAGGACTGTAGCATGTACAAAGACAGAAAACACAGTTATCTAGAGACTCAATGGCTTATTGAGGAATCCATGAAATAAAAATGGATATAATTATTACACTTAAAGTTATCTCAGTTTTTAGCAATATACAGTAATGTATCTTAGCAATATATTAGTAGGTGATTTTCATCAGTGCTGATGGTGTTCAGAGGAGGAAGAAAAGGAGGAAGATTTGTTACACAGTCAGCCAGCTGTTCAGACTGGATTTGGCATTTTTATCCACCTCTCCAGTCCTTCCCAAGCACCTGGGATAGGCAGATGTGGATGTTTTATGGTGTTAAATGTGTCATTGCAGGATTTCTGAGTAAAGATGTCTTTTGCAATTGACCAATGGTAATTTTGTAAATGCCAATGGTGTTCAAATGGTGCTCCAGTTACTTTCAGATTGTATCCAAGACACCTATTAACTAGTGGTGTACTACCTTTGCTTTCTTTTGCCACAGTCATTTTTATTTGCAGATCTTTCTATTTTGTGATTTTTTTCATTTTTTTCTTCTTCTGTTCTTCTGTCCCCAGGCATTGCCACATCCACTAAAAATGGATGTTTTGTTTATTTAAGAGACTTACATGACCACCTATTTAATGCGCCATAACTCTGGGCAGCTCACAGCAGCAGTAATAAAAAAATATTCAAAAAATAATAAAAAACCAACATCTATAAAAACAGCTCACAAACAAACACACTTCTTTATGTAAATGAAAAAGCAATTTGATTCTGAGCATAGAATTTCACCTGCATTTTCCTCCCATTCAGTTCTTATCTAAAAAGATGAAAGAGAATTTGCTTTTAAAAAATTACCATTTTTAAGGTAGTGGCCCTATTTTTATCTCTATGGGTTCTGCCCCTGAAAAATTGTGAAAATTATCTTTCTTTGGAGAAATTTGAAGAAATTATCTACCAAAAAGTTATGGACAATTAACCATGAGCACATGGCTCTGCCCACTCCACTGCGGAGCCCCCACCGCAGCTGACCCATTGGGGCATCTATCAATGGCTGGTCCTCTGCCAGTGTTCCACCTGTCCAATGCATCCTCCTCCCAAGCAATTTGCTAAATGATACTTGTCCCCAGCCAATCCACAGCACAGGACATGTAACTTTGCATCTCTGCTCTGCCTTCTCATTGGATGCAGTCCCTTTTCGGCTCGACCCCTGGTTAATTATCCCATTCCATACCAAAAAGGCCATCTTGCTCAGGTCAACTCCATGCTATCATCTGTAAAACTATCCCAGAAATTATTATTTGAAAATCTTTTCAACTGTATTCCATTAAACTATTCCCAATAAGGTGCATGAAAGATTATATCTGAAAAGTAGGTTCTTATTCATGATCATTTTGATACAAACTGATTATATTTTTAATTCAAGAGTTTGTCTCTTACATCTGCATAGCACTACAAACCAAGGCTTGATATGCTATCATAAAAAAACAGTAATACAGACCAGACTGTTTAAATATTTCTCCTTCTAAAATTAAAAGTAATTGAATGCTTGGCAAGAAAGAGGAGTCCACATTCCAGGCAAAATGCAACCTCACTGAAGTAAATAATGTTACCCCAATTCAATTTTCCAGTGAATAACATTATTTAAAATATCTTAAGATAACCTAAGGTATTTCATGTCTCATTGTGCTATGCAATGCTGCACTAATGGAAATAAATACAAGGAAAAATGTAAATCAAATGAAATCCTTTTAAATTCCATGAATTTCAAAGGGATGCTTAACTTCTGTTATAATCCAGGGGGTAAACTTTGACTGAAAGCAATTTTATCCTACAAACAACATTCAGGTTCTTGATTTTAACTTGTATTCTCTATATGCTGCACCTTTAATGCCTGGCTTTACATCATTGTAAATAATTCAAATAATACGTACAAGCTGTTGTCGACCTGTGTAGTCTTCCTTCTGAAACTAATTGGCAAACAGCAGGGAGTGAGCTTTTCTAGCAAGCAGTGGGAGGGTATGTTCAGTGAAGTTTAAATCTCCACCTGTACTACCAGATTGCTATACATCCTGTGTTTTACAATATCATAGCTGTCGCTAGCAATAATTTAAAGCAGTTCAGTCTATAACCCTTTTCTTCTTCGGATTCTCTTTTGATGTATCCTTTTGCTTCTTTCCACCCCTACCCCTCCTGTTTCTTGCATCAAAATATTTTAGCACAATAATAGTGATTTAGTCCTGATGCAGTATATCATCTTTTGTTTTTTGTTTTTTTAATAAAGATTTTATTGGGTTTTTTTCATCAACATATGTTAATTTTTCCAATCAACAAGTTGTCTGGAGTTTGCTGTGCTAATACATGTTTAATTCCTAATCCTTCATTCTTTCCTTTAGCCAAGAATAAAATAAGTTCCAAATTTGATAGTAGTCTGTATCTTCTTTATCTTTCAACCTCATAGTTAATCTGTCCATCTCTGCGCATTCCAATATTTTCCTGATTATTTCTTCCTCCGATGGCAGTCCTTCATTCTTCCAGTATTGTGCAAAAAATATTCTCCCTGCTGTAGTGATGTGTAAGATTAAATATAATTTCTGCTTATTAGTCTTTTCAGGCATAATACCTAGTAAAAAAAGTTCAGGTTTAAAATCCACTTGTTCACCAGATATTTTTTCTAGCCACATATGTATCTTTCTCCAATAGGCCTTTGCATTACCTCATGTCCACCAAATGTGATAATATGTGTCTATGTTATGTTTACATTTCCAACATCTATCTGACATATTTTTAAACATTTTTGCTAATCTTACTGGCAGTAGGTGCCATCTATAAAACATTTTATACATATTTTCTTTGTACAAAGTTGACATTGTTAATTTATAGTTTTTCTCCCATAACATTTGCCATTTTTCTAATTCTATATTATAGCCATTTTTTTTGCCCATCTTGTCATTGTTTCTTTCACTTGTTCACTTTCCATATCTAAAATTAACAAAAAGTTATACATTTTCTAGTATATCATATTTTGTATGCCACCAGAAAGTACCAAGGGAGGGGTGTAGGGAAGGAGCTCAAAAAGAGAAAAATAATCACAAAAATAATCACATGTGAAAAGATTTCATTTTGCTGCATGATGCTTAAGCATGAGTAAAAAGCTTTTGGCATCCTAGGGAAACTTTGCAAAATGTGCTGCTAGTTAGAAACCATCTTCTTAATATATCCTTTATTTGTTCTTTCTTGCAACAAACATTTGCATGAAAACAAGAATGCTGTTTCTCCTTGCTCTTCCACTCCAGCTGTGTATTCTGGAGTTGATGCTGATTTAACAAGGAATTGCATTTGATTGAGTGATTCTGATGGTTCTTTGTCTGATTCTGTTTCTCACAGAGTAATTTTAAAAGCTGGCTCTAAATATAGTTCTCTTCAGTATGAAGGCAGGACTTACAGTAGCCATTGCTCAAGGTTGAAAAAGACACTGCTGGGAAAATTTGGCTCTTCGTGATATAGGAAGGGATGAATCTATCCAATTCAATTTTATTCAGTTCCTACTTTTTCCCAAATCATATTGATTGTTTCTACAATCAATTCATGACTGTCTTTTTTAAAAGGAACAGGAAAATGTGTACAAATATGCATGTTCTCACAAAGATAAAAGGAGGGAGGCAAAAGTGCATTCAGGCTTTCAAGAGTCTGTTACTATATCTTTACCATAAGAATAGCATTGACATGATTTTGTTTCCTAATCTGATCTATGTTGTCTATATGTCTATTAATATAATACAGTCTCAGTAAAAGTAGTTTTAGCCTTCTATGTAGATGATTTCCTGGAACGATCTACATAATGTCCTGGCAGATACCATTAATGGGTGATGATCCCAATAGTATATTACAACTCCAGGGCAGGATGGAGATACTATTTATTTAACATGGTGCTTGGAAGCTGGGCAAACCTGGATGGGAAATACACAGGCTTAAACTGAACCCTAGCCATCTGTAGCCTTACCTGGAGTGGGAGGACCGGATTATAATATACAACTAGAATACTGCAACACATTCTGCATGGGGTTGCCTTTAAAGACCAACTAGAAGTTACATTTGATGTAAAATGCCTTAGCTCATGTACTAATAGGTGTTTTCTTGTAGATACATATTATACCTGTCACAATCTGTTAGCTTCCTTTATGGATTAATGCCCAGTTTTCTACAGGGCCATATCTGTCCATTGGAATGAGCTCAGGTACTCAGTCACGATGGGAGAAGCTGAAGCTCAGGAGCATTTTTTTTCCTTAGAGAGAATGGATTCCCATTATATATTAGTTTGCCTTCAATTCTATTTACTTTCTGAAAAAAAGTAGAAAATGTCATATATTGATTGGGAATTTGAAATGCATGTTTTTACATGAGGTTACTGTGTTTGCTTATTTTGATGAGCTGCCAAACATTGTGATTGTGGCAATATATATGTTGAATAACAAAATCAATAAAATAAAAAGTTTAATTCTACCGACTGTTGAGGAATTACAACCAAATTCCAACCACATGTTTATAACCTATCAACAACAACTGTGAAGAATTGAAATATATATAATGCAATTTTAACAGCACGTAATACCTACCAATTATTTTCATTTCTGTTGGCTTGCTGAAATAGATTGCAAAAAAAAAAAAAAAAATGCTGTGCCCCGAAGAATTTAAGGGGGAATACATCAAGATCAGTGAACAAATCAAGCTTTTAAAGATTTTTTGTTTTTGTTTTTCAAACTTTTCCTTCACAGTTATTTCCATGCACCTGCTGCATGGTAAAATTTCTGTCATAACAATCTGCGGGGGTGTTCTTGAAATGCTGTGATATACTGTAATAGAGTAGCATCTCCAGTTATTTCAACTGGGAAGGAGGTGTGCCTACTGACTTTGTCTCCTTCCAGTTCTGATTGAAAAGACTGTAATATGGAGGGGAAAGTTTGATTTTTTGTTCTTAGAGATAGTTCTAGAGTTCTCTCGCTTACAATTGAATAATGCTGCTCTTGAAATAGCACCATTACCACCACCCCCAAAATCAATGACAACTCTGCAAATAACATAAAAGTGGGTCAGGCTCCTCATCCCGACTCCCGCTCCCAACCCCATCCCTCCCTCTTGCAATTGCCATGAATTTCCTTTGGGTGAAGTGTGCATTTACTTATGCATCTTCACCCTTTGTTTTTGTTTTTGTTCTTTTTGCTTTTTTTTTTTTGCTTCCTTAATGCTAACATGTGGATTGCAAATGGCATCAGTTGAGAATGATATGAATGGGGAAATCAGGCTAGTTTATTCTTCTTTTGAGGTTGTGGTATCAAACAAATTGATACTGCTTTTTTGGCTATCCATTCTGTTTCTGCTTTGGTAAGGAAATATCTTTGAAATGATGATCCAATGGGATACAGGTTGCCTAGATACAATCATACTTAATTTAGACTACCAATTATAAAGTAGTTTAATTATCATAAAGCAATGTTTCATAATAAAAATAAAACAATTGATTAAAAGGGATGGAGTTGAGTGAGGTGAATAATTAAAAAACTGTAAAATAGGCCTTTCTTGATTTAACTTTTGTATAAGAGAGACCAGAAATCCAGTTTGTATGTTGGCATGGAACTCATATTGCCAATTTGGTGTAGTGCTTAAGACGGGGTGTCAAACTCAATTTCATTGAGGGCCGCATCAGCATTGCAGTTGCCCTTGGGGGGCCGGGTGGGTGTGGCAAGGGTAGGTGCGGCCTACTGGGTGGGCATGGATGGAGTAGGTGTGGCCTACTGGGTGGGTGTAGTCAGCTCTACATCATTCGCGTCAAGGGTGCCTGTGGGGCCTGGGCAGGAGTGGGACAGATCTGAGGGTCTCTGGCCGAAGGGGGTGGGACCGGGGCAAGCGCCAAGGCATGATCCATTTCTTCATTCCTCACAAAGGGTCACACCTCCCCATCATGCATCCAGGGGGCGAGGCCAACGTGGCAGGGGCTGGTTCCTCGCTGTTTCCGGATGGCCTAGTGGAGCTAAGACTGAATGCGTTTCAGCATAGATGGCCACCACAAAATTATACATTGGCTCCCGGCCTGGGCCAGGGCCAAGGCAGCGGGGGCCATTCCTTCACTGTTTCCAGGATGGCTTCGCGGGCCACATGAAACCACTTCGCAGGCCACATCTGGGCCCCGGGCCTTGTGTTTGACATGTCTGGCTTAAGACATCAGGTTAGAAACCAGGAAATATTGGCATGAAACCAGCTGGGTGACTGGGTGACCAGTCATTATTTCTCAGGGAAGGAGACAATAACAAACCACCTCTGAAAAACCTTGCCAATAAAACTGCAAGGACTTGTCCAGACAATCTCCGAGAATCAGACAGAACCAGTGGTGGGATTCAACCAGTTTGCACCACTTTGGAAATTTTTTGTTGCCCAGGCCCAGAATACACCTCCAGAAGCAGCATCCACGCAGAGAACAGGTTGTTCACATATTTGAATCCCACCACCGGACACAACTGAATAGAAGAAGAAAAAGAGAACCCGTGATTTCTATAGTTTTTAACGTTATCAATTTTACTTAAGCCATTTTCTCAAAACTAAGGAATATATAATAATTATAAATAAAGTACAGCAAACTGTACAGCTGAATTAGGAAACAATGTGCCTTAGAATATGATTAGTTATTTTCTCATAAAAAACTTTAAAAATCTTTTAAAAAGAAATTGAAATGAACTTGCTTCTGATTCATGTCATTTTTAGAAAACTGTTAAAAGCGGCGTTGAAAGCAATATATTGTAACATAGAACACATAAGTCATTAAAATCAGCTTTGCAGCATGCAGAAATTAGTACCAGATCACAATAATCACAGATAAGTAGCCTCAGAGCAGATTATTTCAGAAGCAGTCATATCTGTAAAATTTTAATTGGGAAGCATTAATTTGGAATTCATCGCAGATGTTTTTCTCAGTTCTGTAACTAAGGCAAAAAAAAGGACCTCTCCAGATGGTGATTTTTCACACAGTGGTTAAGTGCTTATTACTTAATTTTTTCAAGGTGTCCAAATATCATTACTTCACTCAGTGTTTCTATTGCAGAAACATCTCATTTTCCCTACACTTAGATGTCTTTTTATGGTGGAAATAAATAATTATTAATGGTAGCCAAAATGTGATTTGTAGATGTCATTAGCACCTTTTGGATAACTGCTGTTCAATATTTCACAGTATACAAATTAATATTCATTTGGTTCTTCATTATTATTTTAGGACATTCTGGAAGTTAAAATTGGAATCCAGATTACATCAAAACATCTAGTCCAGCATTTTGTGTTAATCTGTAGTTATCTAGATGCCTTTAGAAGGCTAACAGGCATGGGAAAAGTGGACATAGATTTTTTTTTCACTGTTACTCTACAGCTAATATTTCTAACGGGCTGCCTCTGACTCAGAACATAATGTAGTATGCAACTGTCAAGAGCATCCATGGAATACAAATAATGAAATAAAGACAAAGCATAAATTCTGCCTTTTAACATCTTTATATACTATGGCACAATTGAGATGTGAAAGAGCAGAGTTTGTACATTTCATCATTTGGATTCATCATGGTTAGAATTACAGGAAGAAGTCAAAGTAGTCTTCACTTTAATTAGTTGAAAAATCAGTTGGATTCTGCAATGAAAGTAATCCAGTTTCTAGACATTCTGTAACATTATCTTTACCCTTTCAAAAGATCTGGTTTAAAAAGGGCACAGTAGAAAACTTACTAGCCTTGTGTGTGAGACTGAGTCTTAATAAATTACTATTGTTCCTTTATCCATTTTCTTACCAGTTCAGTATTTTAGTTTCTCAGATCATCTCTCCCAATAAGTGCTATGTAAATTTCTATATGATGCCTAGATATGACATCTCTCTTTTTTTCAAAAGATAAATCATTAAACTACGTGGTGTTGGGTTTAACTAGAAATTTCAGTACTTTGCTTTAAAATTCATATAATGTAAACATATAAAAATAGTCCTGTCAATATATTATTAAATATTATTATTGTATTATGTTATTTGCAATATACTTTAGCAATAGCACTTTATATTGCTTTATAGTGCTTCATAGTACTCTCAGAGTGGTTTATAAATGTCAGCATATTGCCGCCAACAATCTGAGTCTTTATTTTATCAACCTTGGAAGGATGGTAGCTGAATCAACCTTGAGCCGGTCAAGATCAAACTCCTGGCTGTGGGTAGAGTTAACCTGCAATACTGTATTTTAACCACTGCACCACCATTATAGCTACTTTAAAACAACTGTCCATCATTATATAAAGATAAGATAGCTGTATGTACAATAAAGGAGCCAAATGGTCAAGAAACATTCTATAATCTAGTCTTTGACCTAATAGCCATGAAAGCCTTGGAAACAATATTCAGATGCCAGGAAGTGCCTTTAAAATATCAGAATTGTACAAGCAATGTAGTATCTATAGATGTTGAGAAGAAGCAGGATAGGAAGAGTATTGATGCTTTTGAACTTTGATTTTGGAGAAGACTTCTAAGATATCATGGATAGGTATGAAAAGAACCGATATGATGTGGTTCTTAGAAATATTAAAGCACACGTATTGTTTTTAAAAATCTGCTTTCAGTGTCTGAGAACCAATATTGTCAAAATTGTTACCAACCAACAAAAATGCTGAGTTTTATCTATAACCCAGTTGCCATATGACAAGCCATACCCGCTTTCACTAATAGCAAGCTACTCAGTAAAGTTTATTGTAGTGCAGCTTGCTTATAAAGGAAACCACAGGTAATTTGTAACCAGGATACTGTGACTCTTAGTCCTGCCTTATGCATGAAAAACCAAGTAGGTGACTTTGGACCAGCCACTCTCTCTCAGCCCAACCTACTTCACAGGGTTGTTGTTGTGGTTGTTGTTGTGAGGAAAATAGGAGGAAGGACTATTAGATATGTTCACCACCTTGAGTTACTTATAAACTAATAAGGTGGGATAAAAATCTAACAAATAACTAAAAAATAAAATTAAGTATTCCACCGAAATAATTTTCTAGGATGAGCAATATGGGTGGTACTCATTTACTGACTGCCAGGTTTAGCAACCATTAGAAGTTACAGTGGTAACTTCAGGATCAATTTTCATGTTTACCACTGTTCCATGCTCTTGCAATCATTTGTGTGCTTCTCAACTGGCTTGTGATGAGCAGAATTAATGGACAATGCAGACTTAAAGTCATAAGCTGCAATCATGTGATGTCTCATTTAATGATCTTTGTGATTTGCTTAATGATCAAATGGGAACTGGGCTTGTAGGCCCATCATGGATATGTACTTT